AATATATGAGTACTTATGTGTCAGAAATAAGCACAGAAAACCGAACCAAGAAGCAAGGAAAAAATGAATAAAAAAGGGGATGAGAGAGAAGAAGAATTGATTCACCCAAAATACCGAAAGGATAAAGGGTGAAACAACCCTCAAAACTGTGACAAAAAGATCTGAAAAAGAGAGCCCAGGATCCTTGAATCAATCCAGAGGATATCATTTTCTCAAATTTTTTTTGTTTATAATTGGATCAACCCAAGAAGGGTATCCTCTCCAAATTTTGTTTCGAACAGGTCGAAACTAGTCCAAAACTAATGTAATAATTGTACCCATGGCTCCACCACCTATATGCACTCACACACCCAAGCCTGAACCCAAATACAGTATTTATGTTCTCCAATCTTTAATGTTGAATCTCCAAACACTTTTTCCAAACAACAATTTCATAAGCTTTCAAATCCTTTCATAAATCCAACTTATATCAACTTCATGATTCCCCAAAATAAAGCTATAAAAGCCTTTCATATTTCACAAAATAAAGGAGAATAATCCATAAGGGGTAATTTTCTAAATCTTCACAAACTAGGCCAATATCGAATCCATTCAATTCCACCCCTTGTTATAAGCTTTTTCACAATTGTATAAATGTAACACTAATTTAGAAAATGTATAAGTGCTCGCGGCTGAGGCAAAATGAACTTGAATAATCCTCAACAGGCTCACGGGAAAAAGCAAGAAACAGAATAGGGGCTCACGGGTAAGGCCAAGAAAAGGGACAACTTTACAGCAAAGGGAAAGCCTCACGGCCAGGGGCACCCGAACCAACCATGTCACAAACCAAAGAACCACCACAGTAAGACTCACGGCCAGGGGTAGTGAGGAAAAAACCAAGCCCAAAACCAACCACATTCAACATAAAAGAGCTACAGGTGAAGGCTCACGGCCAGGGGCAGCAGAGAACAACCAAACAAGACAAAAAGAAACCAATTAGGATGCTCATGGGTAGGGGCAGCAGACCAAAAAAACAATAAACTAGCTTCAGAACAAAGGGAAAGCCACCACAAATATCACCATTGTATTCCTTTGATATACATAAAAGAGTGAATGGACAAACTCACATAAACTATCTAAATTGAAACCATTTTATTGAGCAAGACATGAAAGTGAATTGATTCATTTATATCAAACATTCCCACATAGAAGCAGATATTGAAATCATGAATTTTGGGATGACAAGCTTGATTACCAATAAAAAAGTCTTATGAGGAATGTTATATGAAGAGCTTCCAACCCAAACCGTGCCCAACAAAGGGGCAAAATGAGCCCACCAAAGGGCTAAAACAGAAAGGGATTCTAGCCAAAACACAAGCCCAAAAGAAGCCAAATCGTGCCCACCAGAAGGGGCAAATCGAGCCCACCAAAGGGGGCAAACCAAACCCAGCACAAGGGCAAACTGAGCCCAGCACAGGGGCAAAAACAAAAAAAAAAGAATAACTCCAGCTATAATTCAATTCCAAAAGAGCTAGAACCGAACCCAACCCAACCAAATGGGAGAACAGAGAAAATGTTTCCAGCATGAATCCATTCCAAAAAGATCAAAGACCGAACCCAACAAAATGGGAAAACAGAGATAATTTCCAGCATTCATTCATTCCAAAAGAACCAAAAAAAATTGAGCCCACTGAATGGGCCAAAACAGAAAAACATCTTTCAGCTATAATTCCAACCTAACAGAGTCAAAATCGAGCCCATCGAATGAGTCAAAACGGGGTAGAATTTCCAGCATTTATTTGGACAGAAATAACAATAATAAAAAGCACCAACATTCCAACATTTTATTTCCAACATAAATTCTAGATGAGCAAATAGCATTTCAGAGTTCATATTCATGCCTTTTCCATGTATTTCGAGCAGGAAAAGAAATGCAAGCAAGCCTTTCCCCTAAAAATCATTCTTCCTTTAATAACAAATTGATACAACAAGGAGAAAAGAAAGAAGGCTACAACTTTCAGCATACAAGCATAGAAATAATAGAATTGTAAGATGAAGATTTGCATGTGACAATGGATCTAAACATGCTTTCCCTAAAATGTTATTTCAACCCATCAGCATAGAACTTTTAAATCAGATCCAATAAAAGTATTAAAGGGTCAATCTTTGATATCAATACCATTACGAAATACCAATTAAGACAAAACAAAGCCTCATGTATGCATTCCCTATTTTAACATTTCCAACAAGTGTCGAGCAGGACAATAGAACAAAGAAGAAAATGAAGAAGTACCTTGCTTGAGATTTCCTAAAGAAAAAAAAATACAGAAAAAGGGCATCAAGCTTCCAAACACCCAGCACACAAGGACTTAGCCGAGAAACAACTTCAGCTGAACCTATCTTCCTAAAAGCTTCGAGAAACAGTAACCAACGAGTACTGCAAACTCCCAACGCACAAGAACCTAGCCAAGAGGGAATTTCGACAGAACCTCCCCTCCTAAAGTCTCGAACAGCAAAAAAAACTCAACCTCTCCTCTCAAAAAATTTTCAACAACCCAAAACTGTGCTTTGGGAAGCTTTTTTATATGCAGAAATGAGAGGGAACAACCACATTTTTTGTGGTCGAATCAAGTGACGATGAAGAATCGCCACAATAAAGACAGAGACGATAACACCTCGAGAAGGAGAAGGGTCGGCCAGCCCGGCCCTTGCAATTGGAGAACCCAAAGGTCAAGCGGCCACGCGAAGAAGGGGAAGAGTCGAGAGGGGGAGGATCGCCGCGTGGATGAGCGATGGAATCTGGGGCACGCACTGGGACGAGCCGACCAGCTGATCGAGCCGCAGGATGGGTCGAATGGGGAATTAAGTGTGCGGATAAGGGGTAAATAGGGTTTAAGATAAAAAAATTTATTATAAATAATGATATAAAGATAAAATATTTAATATTTCAAGAATAAAATTTGATTCGTACATTTTTATTTGTGCATCAGATTGTAGAAAATTAAATGCCTTCTTTAGGTAATTCTGACATTCCGGACACGTTGGCGTGGTCTGTTTCGCCGTCAGAGGTCATTTTAACGAATTCATTGATTTGCGCGCAATTTGCTCGTGTAAAAAATTATAGCAATATGGGTGTCTTTTCTTGCTAAAATTGATGTCTTGGACGTTGGCGCGTCCATTTTATTGTTGGAGATCGTCCGGAGAAGTTCGTATTTTCACCCATTCTTTAAGTTCAATTTTAGTCTGATCTTGTGCAACTTTGTGAATTTTGTGTATTTTGTGTGTGTGTGTGTGTGATGATAAAGTCTTGAAGAGATTTTCCTAGGGCTTGAGATCCTAATGGGAATTTCTCCCTGAGTCTCCACATGATAGTCCTTAACCACTCAATCATACGACGATGATTTTGAGATGTTTTGAGATCATCAATGTGGGAAGATCATCAATGTGGGACATCACAAGAGAAATAGGAGGTGGCTGAAATTTCTAAGGGGACGACTTCCAATACTAGTTTTCTAAGATAGTCAACAGAAACCCCTAGAGCTAGATCCTAGGATCCTAAGAAAAAGAGTAATGACCTCTAAATGAGGTCAACAATCCCACCATTTTTTCTGCTCACCTGAAAGTTCTTCTATTCCATTCTCTACTTCCTCTGTCCTATCCATTCTTATAGCTCTCTCACACCTCTCCATATTTCTACCCTTAAGAGTTCTCCAACTTAATCTCCTTTGTCCATTTAACCTCTCCTTCTTAACCTATCTTTCTCCAACTCAGCTATCTCTCAAGCGATTTACTTCTCCCTAAATTATCCTCAAGAATCTTACAATAAAACTTCCACCAAAAGGTCCAAATCCCTATGCCAATGATTCAGAAATTACAAATCTGTATCCAGATTTAGCCAATTTCTTTTTTGCAAATAAGGGTTTCATCTTCCCCGATGCTGCAAGGAACTACACCCTTGCAGCCTTGTAAATAACTAAAAATGGTACCAAATGGCACCGACAGCACTACATCAAATCTTCCTTCGTCCAGGTAGTGGGAATTGATCTTTGGGTTGAGTTTGCCAAGTTTCCTAGACAGACTTCTCTCTCTGTCCTCCTTTCACTTCAATAACAATGTTCAAAGCCTATTTTTAGCTTTGTGTGGATAGTGATGGGCATAACCCACATTTGAGCTCTAATGAAGCAAAAAGTTAAAATTAATTACTCTTCTTGGGATAACAATTCAAAGCAATAAGAGAGTTATTAGCTATAAGTTTCATTAGTTCTGTTTCCATTTTTTTTTAATGTCAATTCTCCATAATCAAAGACATCTGCAAGTTAACAATTAATTTGATGCCAAATAAAAAAAAAAACTTTTCAAGGAGCACCTCATTGCATCTATAAGTTGATAGAACATCCAGTTCCTCCTCCCAAGATACATAACAAATTACACATCACTAAATACTATGTTTTCACGGAGGAGAATTATCTAAAATGTTCAAGAAAGTTTCAAATAACACACATGAGTCACTAGACATGACAATACAATGCAATTATAGGTCTTGCAAGTCATTTCTGATTGGTCAATAAAATACATATCAATAGAGTTTGTTTTTTTTTTCGTTCAGATTAGTTAAATCTATGCTAAAAGGAAAAAATGAGCAGATTTTGCCTGTTTTCATTCTGCGAGCAACTCATGTTCACTTCCATCCAATGCAAAATTATACGGGTAAAAGTTTTTTCATTTGCCCGGTAAAAAAATTTTCTTTTTTAAACGGACGTGGATAGGAGTTTTAGAACTGACCGTTGACACATAATCGATACTCTGCTAAAAGAAAAAAAAGAATAATCTAATGATTTAAGGGCAATATCAATAGCTAGAATTATCATTGAATATTCCATAAGCAAACAAATATTAAAAAACAATCTTATAATTTAGCCAATATCATATAAACAACAGTTTAAAGGTTTGTCATTTAGTGAAATGAATACGTTAAACTACAAAATGCATTTGTAAAGAAGAGGAAATTTTCTAAAACATACTGTATCCTGAGGAACCAGAACCATGTGCTCCCTTATATTTCTCAATTTTAGCTCCTGGATATTATGATCGTCAAGAAATATTTCACCTACAATATGTAAAAAAAGTGTAAAGAAAGCTGCCTAAAAATTATGCTAACAATAAAACATTCAACAAACAGTGACGTCAAACTAAAGCATCATATTAAGAAGTAGCATTCAAAGATATTGACATCACTATTTTCAGAAAAGAAAAGTAATGAAATGAAAACTAACCATAAAGAGGATCATACAACCGAAGCAACAATTTTACGATAGTTGTTTTTCCTCCTCCAGATGGACCGATAAAAGCAACACTTTCACCAGGTTCGATATGGAGATCCATTTCATTTAAAATAAGAGGCATATTATCCCCATATCTAAACGTAACACCAGAAAATTTTATGTCCCCAGTGACATCACATAAATCAAGCGCATTTGGTTTCTCAACCACCTACATGAAAGAAAACATTAGCTGCAAAATATTGCAAATAAATTAGCTTCAAACTAAAAGCAATACAACGTAAATTATCAATTTTATAAATGGAAAAGCAGATTAATTTAATATTTAAGCAGGTAAAATAAAAAAAATGAGTAAAGGACATTGACTTCACGTTCCATCTTTAATTTAGGAGTACATGCTCCCTTTCTCACTATAGCTTCGAACAAAAATAGTCAGGCTTAAAAGAAATACTTTTTCCAATTTAGGAAATGAGTAAGAAATAAAATCAAACAAGAAATTACACTACATGATCCACAAGTTGTGCCGACCTGTTTCAATGCAATGACAATAATGGCAGGAAGAAGCTGCTAAAATTGTGGGGGCAAAAATTTGTCATACAATAGAGAGAATTCAAATCCACATGCAAATATTCATATAAAAAAAAAAGAGAAAGAATAGCTAACATATATTAAATATACAAGTAACTTCTATTCTTTAAGTACCTTATAAAATGGTTGAAATACTCAAAGAAATGATGTACAATATACTTTAAGATAAATGCTTACACAATGGTTAAGCAATAGTTTATTACACCTTACTATATTCTGGAGAGTATATCCATGGATTTAATAAATATCAGAAAAAATAGATAATCTTTATTCAAGTTTGTATCACTATCTGAAAATGCAGAGTTGCAGGAATCACTGCTATAGCAGTACGGGAAAAAGGTAAATATAATATTTCATATACTGTTAAAAGACATTAGTCCAACAACAAATCAGTACTAAGAAAAAAATAACCTTAGAGCCTGATAACTCATATGTAGGTTTAGAATTCAAATAAAAACAACGAGATCATTATGAGACATCTATATAGTTTACAATATGATGTTCCAAAGTTCATAAGACAACTGCTTGACCCTTCTAGCTTTAGAACTGCCCTCTTTAAATAGTAAATACAGGCCTAGATGAGTTCTTTGATTCTCATCTTTTAATCGCTATAATGTCAGTTATCCAAAACCACCTTAAGAAAACAAGATTGGGAGTAATAAGTACAACTAGTTATTAATATATGGAAAAGCAGATATAGATGAATTATGGCATGTTTATATGACTTGGCTATAGCGATCAATGAAAGAGGCTTTAGAGAAATTTATAAATATGTGGCATTTAGTTAAATAATTTTTCAGACATCAAGTGGATGAAAATTTAAATAAGTTGTCGCATCTCAATACTCAATAACGACTTATATAGAAAAATGATTAACTTAAAATCAAGGGCTTGAGTTTTACAAAAACCATTTCACAATAATGAAAAATGATGTTTAATAAAGAATATATTTTGATATTGTAAAGGAATGGACTATATATGTGCAAAACAACACATGAACCTACAATACTATTTTCCTATCCAAGATAAATTTGATCCACCAAACTAAGATAGAAGGTCCTTCATAATTTTTTTCCAGAATATCCTTCTATTTGATCATTTTAATTTCAAATTCTTTAAAAAATAATTATAGAATTGACCACGAGCATTTGGAACGTGTAAAATCTTCAAAGCAAAACTAACAAAAATTTCAAGCACAGCTTTAGGCGTGAAGGGCTTTAAGCATGCCAAAGTGCTTTGTTCACTAGCCTTTAGTAGCTCCAAGAAAAAAAAAAAAAAGAAAAAACTTCCAATTCGTAGCCACTTGACACCAACCTTCAAACACATGATTTGTAAATTGAAGGAAAAGTTGAATATATCTCATACATAAATCCAGCTAAAGAGAAGTGCTAAAGTAATAGTACTTTGTTGTGGAATTGTGCCAGGTCAAACAAGCGCTCAACAGCTGGTTCCCCTTCTTTTAACTCATTGAATGCCTTTCCCATGCCCTGTACATAATATGAGGTCAAAGTTTGTGTCATGCATAAATTCATCATGAATACCATCAAATAGATAAATAAGCACATAAATATTAAAATTCCTTCAAAAAAGTTACAAATTCAAGGCTTAATCAAGAAATATGGTAACACCGTGATTTATATAAGGAAATTTTGATCGAAGCCTTCCGAGTGTTCACGCAGAGAACTTGGAAGAAGGTGGCAACTAAGATATAAAGTTAGTTTTTTCTTCTTCTTCTTCTTTTTCTTCTTTCTTTTTATTTATTTATTTATTTATTTTTTTACTTCCCACAAGCTCAATGCTATACAGCTGAATACCGGTTCCATTGAACTTCTATAGATGTCTAATGAACCGTAACAACTCTACGAACTTTTCTAGAAGTAGGATAGAGTGCAACACGAGAAACCCATCTAACTCCTAGAACTTTATTTTAGCAAATAAAACGTTTTGGAAATCAATTATTTTATATCCTTAAGAGATTCCTCTAAGACTAATATCTAACCTGGCAATCTCATATAATTATGCTTCTTATGATGACCGCTCATACAGCAATTGAGTGCACCTATTATGACCTGATTTTGGAAGCCGAGAAATCTTGCATTTTTATTTCATGTTTATTGGTTTTCTTCGAGTTTTTAGAGTTGACTTCATGCCTGGTTGGACGGTTTAATCATTTATTTCTAGTGTTTGATTTGGACAAAATTTTGACTTACAAAAATTTACCTTATTATATTCAAATAATTTATTTGGTTTTATTTTATGTTCAATTTACAAATAGTATTCACCATATTATAGAGCAATCTTGATTTTATTTTGAACATACTTTTACAAATTTTTATGAGCATAATAAGTAGAAAAATATAATATTTCTTGTTAGATTTACCTTTCTTAAGAATGTTACTTCCTTACAAAAATATGTTTTTTGGAATCATATGGTATGAAATCATATGGTCTCTATGATGCATGGACACGAATATGGGGACATGAACAAGGCACAATACGGAGAAATAACATAATTGAAAAAAATAAGATATGACATGTCATGGACATGTTTTTATGTTTAATTAAATATTAATATAAAAAATACATTTTTTCATAGTTCTTTATTAAAGACATCACAAAATAAATTATGCGAGAATAAAATTTAGTTTCATAAATTTAACTTATAATATAAAACCTCGTGGTTATAAAAATTAATTTCCAAAATTAAATATATAATATTTTCAAAAGAATTTATAAAACCTCATGATTATAAAAAATGATTTCCAAAATTAAATATATAATATTTTCAAAAGAATTTATCCAACTTATTTACTAAATTGTTAAAAATTCTACAAACAGAAAAAAGGAACTACTATTGTTTGGCGTCGATGAATACTAGTTTCACCTCCAATGCTTGATTTTAACAATGTAAAAGAGGGCTTCAACATGAGAGAGAAGTTGTTTCAACTATAAGGTATAATAAGTATATTTATAATTTTCTACTCCCCGTGGACTTTTTTTTTTCAAAATCGTATTGAGCTCATGTCCGATGTTAGACATGTTCGGGCCCAAAAAAATTTAGACATTTATTCTGTAGTGCCAGAAAATGTACGATACGTGTCTAATATGGGTACGACACATTTTTTAGAAGTGTTAGTGCTACATAGTCCAGTATTCATTTTGTGAACATTTTTCACCAATTTGTTCTAGACATAATTTTTTTATTTATTAACTATTTTTTTCATAATTTTTAAGTTCTTTATTTGACGATACAAATGATTTTTATAAACATGATAGTTAAATATATAACAATTTTAATAATTATATTAGTGTCCTACAATAATATTTTTATCTATATTTTATAAATCCATTACAAGAGTAAATTTTCAAGCACTTCATTCCATGTGGTCTAGAGTTATAGAGAAAGGGAGGAGAAAGAGATATCAAATTTTACAGATTTTTGCAGCATATTTGTTGATATTTTTAAATTTTAAAATTGCTGAAATTGTTTTTTTTTGTATAAAGTTATATGTGCAAAAAAAGGAAAAAAAAAAAGTGTAACATGGCTGAATAACTATATGTTATATGCATTTGAAAGACTTAGAGTTGATTTTATCATTTGAGCCAGTTGAACAAATTGTCTGACTCTACGTAGGTTACTGTTAACCCATGTTATATTTTAATTTCATCATGTTTTTTTTAATAAAATTTAGGTATTTTTTTGAAATAAATTTCAAAGAAACATAAATCTACATAGATTTACAATTTTTTAACAATGTGAATTTTTATATGTTGAAGAATAGAGAATATTTGACATATTGATATATAAAAATTAATTTTTCACTGAATATTTTGTGTTGTAATAAAATTTATGTATTTTACCGAATATATCGAAACACGATAAAATTTGTTATAAAAAAAAAAAACTTCAAAATGTTATTCTCGATATTAATAAAATTTGTTATAAAAAAAAAAAAAAAAAAACTTCAAAATGTTATTCTCGATATAATGTTTGTATAAAAAAGTATTTTATAAATTAAGAAAGTTATTTTGTGCATATTAATTTCTCCCTTCAATTTCACTATTAGTTTTACATGCCAATTTTTACAAATTTCTAAAAGATATTTTTATAAGTTAAAACTGTTAATATTTTTATAATTTTGTATAAAAATATGTGAAAAAAATGAGAAAAAAAGAGAAAATGCAGGTTACTGTGTATGGATGGTGGCATGTTATGTTCATTTAAGTGGAGTTATAAAAACGTGTGTATTTATATAATTATTCATCTGTGTGTTTGATATGTCTGAACATATACGAATAAGTAAATGTATAAATCAAAGTAAATATATAAGTGATAAATGAAAAATATAAACAATTGGATGTATAAGTGAAATTGGAGTTACAAGGAGTGAAGAGAAAATTATTTGACTTTTTCTCTTTCATGCATTGAAAATTACACTAGATTTTGAATAATCTATTAAGTTGTGATTGTTTACTATTATTTTTTTCACACATATATTATTTCAAAGAAAAATAAGACTTGGATTGAGTAGAGACTATTAGTTAATGTTAAGTGTCTGACATTATGTACGTTATTATCTTAGATCTATATTTTTTAAAGTTATGATGAGATACATATTTTGTTGATTGAGAGATGTTTTCATGATTTTTGTATATTTTTTTTGTTGTATAATTCGTGATATGATCTAAATGAATATTGAATGTTTTCGTATTGTGATAATTTGATGATTATTAGTGATTTTATATTTTAAGTATAGAAGTTTAATTATGATTCTCATAAAAACTATTTTGAATTTATGTAGAATATTAACTTGGTTGTTTTTGTTTAAATTGCGTCTATTATTTTTGTTTTGTTAACATGCCAGCTATAATGGCCTATATATAAAAGACCTTGTGAGACAATTTTAAGCTCCAATATAAAAAATGCTATGAAATATCCCTTGGTTTATAGTCTATAACATAAGTCTACACTAAGATGCATAAAAATGTCATATGCACACATAAATTAACATGTTACGACTAATAATTTAGCAGAAGGATGCTGCCCGCATCATAATAACACACAAGAGATCACATATCCAGAAAAAAGCTTATTTATGTCTATTACTGTATATGAACTTTAATTTGTCATGAATATTATGATCTTTATCATCAACAATATGATGTCTATCACAGGAGAAAATATTACATGCGGTGACCGCATGTCTGGATGTGTCGTTGTGCGATGTATAGCGGCTTGGCTGCATTTGGACCGTTGTCCGGACGTGCAATCCTCAACACGTCATATTTTTTCCATCAAAATAATAAAGAATAAGGGGTGAACATACTTTTGCTAAGGTTCCATTTCTGTTTTATCATGCAAAAAATGAACTTGCAGCACATTCCGTTGGTAAAATCATGTATTAAAAATTAACAGTCTATAGTTTAACTTCAAGTTCCTTAAATCAGCAGAATATTTATTGAACAAAGAAAAAAATACCTCAAAAATTTCTTTACTTCACAAAAATATAGAAATATAGTAGATTCAAACATAAAAATCAGAATTATGATATGGCTGCTTGAAAAAAATGCATAATTGAATGTACAAATTTCAAAGATTTTGCTTGTTTGTAAGTGCGAGGAAAAGTTATAACCGTTATCGCTACCTGGATAGGATCGATCAGAAGCGCTAGTGACATTGTAAATGAAAGAAGTCTTGATCCATCCATTGAACCCTTTGAAGCAATCATCGAAATAGCATGAAGAACTATCAAACCTCCTATACACAGGATCTGCACAATCTGAGGTATAAATGCCTTCATCTTCTTCTTTCCAATACGAGCTATCAGATCATCATGGGCAAGCCTATAGAAATGCAGGTTCTCCTTCAGCTCTCCATTGTTGGCCCTCACAACGAGCATCAATGGAATTACCTGGATTGTTAAACTAAATACCGGCTCATTAGTGATTCAACCGATGAATCAACAAACAACAAAAAACATAGCACGGAAGAAAAGAAATCTTCAAATAATGAAAAACTAAACTTAAAATAAACCTCATTAAGGTAGGAAGAAAGCTTAGCAGAAGTTATCTGTGCCTTTCTCGATATGCCCTGAAGCCTTTCACCAAGGTAGCCAATGAGAAGTAACAAGATTGGAACTCCCTTCAGTCATAGAATTAATGTGCAATAATACTAAAATCAGTCCGTAAGAGCCTAATTATCAAAAAAAAAAAAAAAAAAAGAAGGAACTTCTGAAAACAAAC